GACTATTTTATAGTCTAGTAGTTGTGTAGACTTTGAGTACATAGTTTATGTATCTCTGTCTAAACTGTACTCGAAAAGTGTTTACAAAGCACGTGCAATAAAGAATAATAATAATGTAAAAATATCTCAAGATGCGTTTAAAATTTTACATAGGTGATAATTAGTAAATATTTTTATCCCTATCTTCCTGTTAATAGTATTTATTTTTAAGCATCAATATATTTGTCAAGTAATATTAGTTTAGTTAATCTATGAATTCTAATTTTTCTAAAATTTTTCTAAAATTTTCAAGAAATTATAAATACGTAATATGTGTCACATATTTCCTAAGATCCTTTTTTTCCTTTTTATTTCTTTTATGTTATTTTCTTCGTCGAAGACTTTCGCACTTGCAAATTGTTGCTACCTCAACTTCAGTATTTTAAATTATGTCTCCGGTCGAATTACAGCATTCAAATATCCGTATACTAAGTTATGGGTACAATATTAGATGAGTCCAATACGTACTTTTATTGAATTTTACTTTTCTATCGGTCTTAATACTTTTACGATGAAAAACGTCGTTTCAACTCCTACGTCATTTCGAAGTCTTTAGCTGAATGCAAAAAACATGGTTCTACGTCATTTCAATTTTATGTACTCGTAAATTCATCGTATCTAGTTCTTAAACAATTATTTTTTTTATATGCTATATATGTTTTTTTTTTTTAAAAACTTTGAACAAATGACTAGAAGCATCATACTGAGATATACTATTCCTTATATTTACACACCTACGAATAACAGATCTGTCCTGTTACCTCTGCTTCAGATTTTCGAAAATTATATACCGTATTCCGCCAAAAAAATTTTCTGCTTATTGTACGTCGCGCTAATGCTAAGTAAATGCTAACTACCTGTGGTCCGTTAAAAATGATCAATTGCAAATAAGTATTTTTCACGAATCCTTAGTACGTACCGCGTTCATACCTAAATGAGTGATTTCCGCTCATCTGTTGCTCATAAAAAGCTATAAAAAATATATATTTATTAAAAGCGTGCAGTATCATGGGTTCCCCAAACTGTTTTCTTTTATAAACATATATTAACAATTCTTTGCAATCGATTGACGATAGATTCTCCGAAAAATCATAAGGAGAATACGTGATTGGTTGCGGACTTGTTGCAAAGTCTCGGACGTAAACTCTCTATATACGCTACTGTGTAAATTCTCACAACACTTTCAGCCTGTGACAACTCGAAATGAAAAACTAATCGACATTTTCGACCATTCGTTAGAAGATATTTAATACACAAATATGCATAACATGTTCCGTATGGGAATACTATGCGGTGCCGCTGTGAACGACACGGTTCGCGAGCAATTCCCTGCCGATCGGCTAATTTTTGCGTTTACGATCGCGTGATTTGTCCAGAAAATTAATTTTGAAACTGTCGCCACTTTTCTGTTAACTAATTCGACTTTGCTGATCTCGTTAAATATTTTGTTCAAGCGAATATCACGTCGTCCATTTGCATTGCATCTCTGGCATCCTTGTATCTCGATCAGCGCAGAACGCTTTGAATTCATAAAAATCTACGGGTCGAATCGACGGTTTTTGGGCATAAGTTCCTCTCTCTGACATTGGAGTACCCAAACCGACCCGGAAAATCGCTCGGCAATAAATAATTTCCTATTTATCACTTAATTTTTCGGATTAGGCTACCCGTCGTCCGGAAGAACCATGGGTTCGCGTGGATTGAGACAGTTTTAATCATGAAAATAGACGAATTTCAGCGGTTCTATCGATCGTGATGTATGCAAGGAACAATAAGCAATCGTTTCCGTGCATCGAAACATTCAGAAACCGTGCGTATTATTGTTTAATTTGCAAAAGTTTCTCGGATGGTCTCGGATTCTCAGCAATGTGGTATTGGAAACATAGTACGGGTCCCTCTCCATGGTCCGTGCTCACGCTACCAGTGAGTCGTTTCAAGAGCGGCTAAGCAATTACCAGTACGCTTAGCGCCATCTGCTGAAGATACACAGTCGTGTAGAGGTCTACTCGGTACTTTTGTTTTCCTTTTTGTTCAAAGAAACACTTCGCCAATATTCCGTTAAGAATGGAGGACAAGACTAACTCCGGAAGCGCTGCAGTATCTGAGAACCCGTCGTCGGGCTCCAGTCCTGCGAAGAAGGCGGCGAAATCGAAGGCGAAAGCCCAACGATCGAAATCATCGCATCCTCCAACCTCCGAAATGGTGAACGCTGCTATCAAGGAGCTGAAGGATCGCAAAGGATCGTCGCTGCAAGCCATCAAGAAGTACATCGCGTCGACGTACAAGGTCGACGGCGAGAAGCTGGCGCCGTTCATCAAGAGGTATTTGAAGACAGCTGTCACTTCTGGAGCGGTCGTGCAAACCAAGGGAAAGGGTGCGTCTGGCTCGTTCAAGTTGTCCGCGCCGAAGGGCAGCGCCGAGACCAAGAGCAAACCTAAACGCGTGGCCAAGAAATCCGAGGTCGCCGACAAGAAGCCCGCCGAGAAAAAGCCAGCTAGCCCGAAAAAGCCCGCCGCCAAGAAACCAGCTGCGAAGAAACCCGCCGCAGTCAAGAAGGCTCCAACACCCAAGAAGGTGAAAACTCCTGCTGCAAAGAAGGCCGACACTGCCGCGAAACAAAAGGCTGTCGCTCAGGCTAAAAGCCTGTCGAAAGCCAAAAAAGCCACCAAATCCCCAGCGGCCAAGACGAAAACCCCGAAGCCGAAGACTGCTAAATCACCAAAAGCCAAGGCTGCCGCGAAGAAGTAATCGCTTCATCATGATAAACCACTATTGGCCCTTTTCAGGGCCACAAAATCTATAACGAAGGAACAATCTGTTTACACCAACTATTTTTTCCTTTCATCCTTATCCTATTCACGATTTAGACTATTGATATATATATATATATATATGATTTTTATTGAAGTTACATTTAGTTAGTAGGACTAGTTTGTGATAGAAATTAACTTAATGCATAGTTTGACTTAAGTAATATTTGCAAGCATGTTATACATCTGTTTTTGATGTATCATAATAATTGAACGGGAAGGGAAAGATTTAGGCTTTAGGACTCAGTTTTGAAAGTATAATTTTGGTGAAAATATTCTATAGATCACGGTCGACTGAAAAACTATCGTCAAGCAAAGATTATTTTAGGATATTCGAGAGATGCTCTTAAGCGAATCTTCATCGTGTTTAATCGATGTGTCTCGTATAATTTCGTCGCTAAACATGTAAAACGAGCTACACCTTCAGATTCCTTTCTACGGTGATAGTATAGACATATGGGAAAAAATCTCAGAAGTTTAAAAGATTAGTAGCAAGACTCAATTTCTCCAATATTGTAAAAGATAAATTCAAAGATAAACGAACACGTATCTCTCAAATTATAGTTGTTCAGAAGAGTACATAATATAAATGATAGTAGGGATAGGTGCAATATATCCAGGTATGATAGTCGATGGCATCCTCCTTTTTCACAGGTGACCATCACATGTTGATGCTTCAAAGATATATGATTTTTCAGGACAATTCTCGGACCTTCAGAGGTGCTGTGGAGAAGAAATACTGTATTAATATATAATAATAATAATATATGTATATATGTAGATTCTGTTATTTTATTAACAGAATTTATTCATTCATAGTTATACTAAAAATTTGATACGAATAATAACAAAAGTACGAATATTAGAAATTTGTATATTTAAATTTTACTTGGAAACATACACGAACAAGTAAATTGTTTTAATATTGACTGTGATATTAGATCTTGTAGGTTAGATTATTGACTGGTGTTTCTTGCAATAAACCTGCACGAATTGGGAGTATCGGAAGTATGCTCGTCTCTGTTTTAACGAGAAAACGTTACGAATGAATGATCAACTAGATTCTTCTCCTATCTCTTTTTGAATTTCTATTTCTGTTTCTATGCTTCCCGTTACTTATATACGGATCTATAATTTTATGCTATATTGCGTGTAAATAACGCTGGCTCCATAAACGTAATAATACTTAAAGTTGTATCTCGTTTTATGCAGTACTATAACTGCATTTCTATTGTATAGCTTATTAAAAACGTCGCATAGATTACTTGTACAAACATTTATTTTATGCAACGTTCGATCTTCGTTTTCGATTCGAGACGCATTTCTTCTACGAGTAAATATTCATTTTTTATTGCGTCATATAACGATTAAATAAACCATGCATCAAATGCAAGTAAGATTCCCTTTATTGTGTACATGTAAACAAACGGCAATAGAAAAATAATGAATAAGACGTATTAAGATTGGAGGTTAGGGTAAGTTTTTAGAGAATACTCGATGTAACAACCCTTATACTTTACATACGAAGGGATCGATATCGAAGTTACGTATGCTATCTCAAAATAACAGAAATATACAAGTTCTCGAAGGGAAAGTTTATTGCTCCTATGCGTAGCTTCTACAGGGAACGAACAGCTGCGGACCACGTGAAGGGAAAGACACGTTGTCGATATTCCCGCCAATTTCTGTAGCTTGCCGTCGCCCGCGATTCATGGTCGAATCCTGCATGAGACAAATTACTCCCATAGCTTTAAGAGACTAAATTACTTTCTTGTTTACGTTCACGTGTTGTGATCAAACAAAATTTATGATCATCTCGGAACCGTCTGTACAGGTTTGTTTGTTAAGTTTACGAGATCAATGACCCTGAATCTCGTTCTTGCTATATCTTGTCGGGAATTTATGTTGTACATAATTATTTCGAACGGCAACATTATACGTTATCGTATTAAAATTCTGTATATTCCCGATTTTCCGTGCTCTTCTGGCTATAAAAAATATGGTGGTTAGTTTAACAAGCATCTGCTCGCGTGGCAGTCAATGGCGCTCCAATCGCTGGTCGGCGGCCGCGGCTCGCAACCTGATTGGTCGACCGTCGGGGACCCGAAAAACGTATAAAAGGCAGCGGGCTTCGTGCTTGGACTATCATTCTTCGCTGAGTCTCCTAAGAGGTCACATTCAGTTTTCTTTTTTTCGTTGTACTTTCGGTCTCGTTTGGCAAACAACATGTCTGGACGCGGAAAAGGCGGCAAAATCAAGGGAAAGGCGAAGTCCCGTTCGAACAGAGCCGGTCTTCAATTCCCGGTCGGCCGTATCCATCGTCTCCTTCGCAAAGGCAACTACGCGGAACGTGTCGGTGCCGGTGCTCCCGTTTATTTGGCAGCTGTTATGGAGTATCTGGCCGCCGAAGTGTTGGAATTGGCGGGCAACGCTGCTCGCGACAACAAGAAGACCAGAATCATTCCCAGGCATTTACAACTGGCCATCAGGAATGACGAGGAGTTGAACAAGCTTCTTTCCGGAGTTACCATCGCTCAAGGTGGTGTTCTGCCAAACATTCAGGCTGTTCTCCTGCCCAAGAAGACCGAGAAGAAGGCTTAAATTCCTCATTCACAAGCTCCATCCATAACGGCCCTTTTCAGGGCCAACAATTTTATAACGAAGGATAACACCGATCAACTGTGCTACCTTAACCTCGATTACCTGGATAAATATAAGATAATAGGTTCTTCGACGTTTAGAGTAGTTTTGATGTGTGTGTGAGATGTGTTAGTAATTACAAATTTCTATTTGAGGTAAACGTCGTTCGTAGGCTGGAGTTACATAATTTTTCTGTTATAGGTAGACAATGTTATTGGACCGATTCCGATCAATACACTAGCTAGACTATAAATTTTTCATCGGTTATTATTTTTTAAAATAAGGTAGAGGAAGGTTGAATAAAATAATATCGTGTACGATTAACATGATCGTATAACGGAAAGTTCAATTGTTACTTTAACAGTGGCGCGCGCCAACTATTTCGACTGTTCGTGTCGTGTCAAAAAGAAAAAAAATGTATCGACGCTTTTATACGAGGGCATTGAACTTAGTTCGGAGCGTACCGAGTGACGTATTAAATGACTTTGCAGTTGCCAAAACTGTAGAATTAATAATATCGGCTTTGTTTCGTCTCTGCCATGTCAACAGTGCAGAACTTTATAGAATTCGTTTTGCCGAATAAAGATTTCCTCGAACATTTTATGGCACCCTTAAAATCGCATTGAAATGAGAACGTAGCACAGCACGGGGTCCCAAAGTTTAGGCCCTAAACAATGGGATCCGAACGAGGGATTTTACAGCCGTTTCCCATAAAATCATCTCTGCAAACAGTCGAGTAGGCAATACAGGCATGTGTCCCTAGATAAGAGGATACATTCCTTCCAAGAAAACACTTTATCATTTCATGTTTGCTTCCAATATAAATGTTATACGTTACAGTGCAAGTTTCAGTAATTCCACGTAGTAGCAAAAGGGTTGCCGCTTAAAATATGAAAAGTCTCCTTGTTTATTAATTTCCACGCAATGAATCAGACGTATTCAACGATTCACGAGAGAGAATTATTCAACTTAATTATGCATCAATAAGTCTCATTATGTTTTGATTTCTTGTTTCTAGTTTCTTCGACCAAAGTATGACGAAATATTAAAATCAATGTTAACAAATGCTTTCAATCGACGGAAACGAATAGAAGGCTTATTATATTTCAACTATTTGCTTCATTTACCGTTTACTTTACTATTTATTATCAAACGTTTCATATACTGTGATTCATTAAAAAATCACTCAAAAACAGCGCAAAATAAAAATCTAATCACAATTTTTTTATAATAATCTTAATTTATGTAAAGACAAAACTCCGTTTAGGGATTCGTACAGCGCCAATTAATCCAGTGGCAAAACGTTCAAACTGCTCGTCAAAATTAGTTCACCACTTTGTCAAACGATGGCGCCATCACGTTATACCCAGGGAATAT